CAGAGCCACAGAGGACACAATTTATTGTGGTTTCTCTGGAAATTGCCTTCTGCTTTCCACGTCTCTGCTCCCCACTTTATTCCGGCCTACACGGTTTCTGGTCCAGAGTGGTCTTCCTGCCTCCTGCTTGCCTTCCTTGCAGGCTGCAGTCCACAGAGCAGCTAGAGCAAGCTGTGTAAAAACACCAGCATGGATGGAAGCCTTCCTCGCTCTCAAACTTTTGCTGATTCCCCTGTGCTGGGCTCAGGAGAAAATATGACCTCCAAGGCCTTTCATAACTTGGCCTCAGACCACCTTCCCTCCCACTCCAAGAATCTCAGGCTCCTGTTACACTGAACCACTCGCTACCCTGCACCTCCCTCCAGGCAACTCTGCCAAGTATATTTACACATTTAGCCCTTACAGTCTGGATAAATGAGGGCTGACCATGTACTACGGTATACGTACTATGCTTCTTTCAACTTCTACACAGCAATCTCTTCAGATTTCTAAAATTGTGATGTAACAGTAGCAAGAGAAGTTGTTTTAGAGGACACACGGCAGGCATAACTACAAAAATGTTCTCCTGGGTGCACATATTATAAATCAACGCAAGTGCCTAGAAATGATGTTCAGATAGAGGCAGTTTGCTGAATCTAATGACTAAATGTTTTCAGTGGCACATAATGAGTTAGTTTTAATTTCTATTTTTTACATAGTAAATTTGGAGGGCGGTTTTGACAAGCAGACAGTCTTCAGACTGTCCTGGGCTTTGAGATCCCTAGTTCACTCTTCCTATTTATTTTTCCCTATACCTTCTCTACATATTTATGTGAGGCAAATATGTCCTTTTGGGGGTCAAATGGTGAAGTAACAACAGTTTAAGAATTGCATTATCCTGGGTATGCAGAAGCTGTTCTATTCAAGCTGAACCATCGAATCATTGGGACTGAGGTTAGGAAGAAATTACATAGTAAGTGTGATAGGAAGGGTAGCATTGATCCTTGGGGGTAAGGACAGAGAGAGGGACCTGGTGGGCTGCCATGAACGTCTAAAGGGAAAGATTTTGTCGTCATCATCCCAGTGTGCCCTGTAATGCCTTCCCAGGAAAGTGGCAGGCATATGATGGACGATCATTCAGCTATCCAACGAATATTTACTAAGTCGTAGAAGTTTGTTTTTTCAGGTTTAGAGTTTTAAGCTTGTTAATAGCAGCTGAATTCTTTCTCTGTTTTGTCATCTTCACTTTTGGACTCTAAGTTGGACTTTGTTTTTCGTTTTTTTTTTTTTTAAGCACTTTCTCTCTCCTTTCTGCAGCCCACTGCAGTGTCACACATACAGTGGGCTGTCAGCAAATATTTCTTAGGGGAGGAGAGAAAAAAGGGGAAGAAAGACAGCTTACAATATGCAACACAGTGGAGGAGGTGATAATTTTCTAACTCATCTTTGAGGTTAGAGAATTTCTCTGAGGCCCCAGCATCTTTCCAGAACGTCCTGCCAATGTGACTGTTGGTTTCCTCCCTATCTTGGCCACATTTTTCACCGAAGACCTTAATTTTCTCCATCTAACAAGGTAAACCCTGTCCTTCACTCCTTCCCTTTCTCCTTCCTTCCTTCCTTCCTTTCTTCCACAAGTATTCCTGAAACTTACACTCTGTGCCAGACACGGTGCCAGTCTCCGAGGGTACATAGACAGGCAACTTTGGGTGCTCAGAGTCAAGGGCAGGGAACTCAGTCTAGTGGAGAAATGGACACATGCAAAGACCACTACAGATAGTGCGATGAAGGCCCCAGGATTGAATGCACAGAGGCTTCAACTTACCTACAGTTAGTAGGAAAAGGAATTAGGAAGTGGCAAGCACGAGAATCAGGGGATGTCTTCCCAAGAGACAGGACACAAGACTTTATTTTTTTTTCTGTAGAGACAGAGTCTCACTTTATCATCCTCAGAAGAGTGCCATGGCGTCACACAGCTCACTACAACCTCCAACTCCTGGGCTTAGGCGATTCTCTTGCCTCAGCCTCCCAAGTAGCTGGGACTACAGGCGCCCACCACAGCGCCGGGCTATTTTTTTGTTGCAATTTGGCCAGGGCCGGGTTTGAACCTGCCACCCTGGGTATATGGGGCCAGCGCCCTACCCACTGAGTCACTCGGGACAAGCCACTCGGGACACAAGACTTTAATACTGAAGGAAGGACAGAGCCTCATGGGAGAAAGATGGAAAAGACATTCCCAGCAAAAGGAAATAACATGTAAGCAAAGGCAAGGGAGTGGGAGGAAGATGATGAAATGACAGGTTTTTCTATGTGACTTATCAATTCTATGTCACTGCTTTATACTCTTCCCATTTACCTCATATCATGGGATATGATGCAAAACTTAAGCATTTTAAGAAAGTTAGATAACCAATCATTTTATCTTTTAAAGAGAAAGGTCTTAATAATGTGGGCTATCTGTGAGTTCCTGGGTGAAAAGAGGATTGGATCCTTACAGGAAACCAGGAGGAAGGCTGATGAAAATCAGGCAGTTGATGGAAAAGTAATACACTTGATATTCTCTTCTAACTTGAGAAGCTAAAATTCTCTGCCATGAGGGCAGATGAATTTATAGGCTCTTGACCTAAGCATGAACTAGACTGAAGGAAAAAAATTAAAAAACAGGGTGATTCTAGGAATTTCAACTGAGGCCAAGGTCCAGTTTTGTGGACTCAACGTTTAGAGATCTAACACATTTGTAAAACTGAGGTCCTCCCAGTCCTACCAATCAGTTTGCATTGTGATGGAAAACTGAGAGGATAAAGCCCTTCTCCCAGTGCAGTTTATTTCTGTACCCAGAACCTCTGAAAACAGGAGGCCCAGGATGACCTCTTCAGTCAAGAGTCAGCTCAACTTCAAAATTATGATTGCATGTGAAAGCTAAAATGGGAAAGAAAAAATTAGTTCTCAGGGCAGAAATGCTAAAACCCCTCGGGTCACATTCCAGTTAGGATCCTGGCCCTTTGGGCAAGAGACCAACCAAGGCTAGTTCAAACCAGTTGAGTATCAAGGACCAGGGGGTTTACTTTGGAGGTGTTCAGTTCACCAAAAAAGAAATTTACTATATATGGTGATTATGATACGTAATCCTTAAAAAAACAGATGTTCAATGTCTGGTCTCAGTATTGAAAAAGGTGCTTGCCAAAGCATCTACCCACTCCCAATGAACTATTTGCAGTAGTTAAAGAAATCAGAGGGATAGGGCAGTGCCTGTGGCTCAAAGGAGTATGGTTCTGCCCCATATACTGGAGGTTACGGGTCCAAACCCGGCCCCTGGCCAAAAGAAACTGCAAAAAAAAAAAAAGAAAAGGAAAGAAATCAGAGGGATAGAGTATGTATTAGTTTCCTAGAGCTGCCAAACAAATTATCACAAACTGGATAGCTTAAGACAACAGAAATGCATTCTCACACAGTTCTGAAGGCTACACATCCAAAACCAAGGTGGCTTCCTTCCAGAGGCCCCAGGGAAGAATCTTCCATGCCTCTCTCCTGGCTCTGAGTGTGGTTGCCAGCTATCTGGGGTATTTCTTGCTTGGTCTGTAACTGCACAACTCCTATCTCTGTCTCTGCCTTCACATGGGACATTTTCTCTGTGTCTGTGTCCAAATTTCCCTTTTCTTACAAGGACATCATCAGATTAAGGCCCATGCTAATCTAGGATGAGCTCATCTTAACTTGATTACATATACAAAGATCCTTTTCCTAATAAGGTCAGTCACATTTACAGGTATCTGGGGTTAAGACTTCAACGTATCTTTTAGGACACAATTGCAACCCCAAGAGCTTAAAATTAAAACAAAACCAAAACCCTGAGCTAGGCATGAAAAGACCTGGCTGTCCAATGACTGCCTCCCCACTGGGTTACCCTTGCCCTAAGTCCTGGCTGCTCCTCTTTAAAGTAAGACAATGCCTGCCCTACTGACTTCAGAAATGCCATGAGAATAAAAGGAAATCATGTAAATGAAAGTATTTTCTATTCAGAAAGTGTTTCTACAAGTGCAAGGGATTATTATGAATTCATTCCAGATTGTGTTGACTTTTCCTTAACTTCATAACTACTTAATGAATAGGTGATGGAATGAGAAACACAGCCTGTCTTACAGGGAAGAGAATTTAAATGACATGCCTCTCCTCATTTAGGGTTTCAAATGAAAATACAATAGCAACCACAGATAAGAAGAGTAGTACTACAGATCCCTGTGCAAGGGGCTTTTTCACTCTCACCAAAAGTGAAGCTAAAGGGTGGCAAAAAATTTAACAACCAAGAGGCCTGATGCTGTCATCTGGGACACCAGCAGACATCTGATGGCCACACAGTGGCTTCTCTTGCCTGTGTGGTCCATATTACTGGCTGACAATCTTCTGATAAGGGCTTCCAATTTGTTTTGATGACTTTTCTGGATAGAGGGACACAGACCACCCAACTTATAAAATTTTGCTTAGAAGACATTTTCCCAGATGATGTGATATACTCCTATGTCCATTACACAAAGCAGAAACATTGTATAGACAGAAAAAAATAAAACAGTGAAAATTTTTTAAAAAAGACGCCCTTTCCATTCTCCTTTTTATGAGGCCTGAAGCTCTAGCAGGTTGGAAAACTTTTTCAGGCCACCAGATTAAGTCAATGGGATTTGGAAAGCAAAGATGGCCCCACATAGGTGTACTGGAAAGGCCCAACAGAGGTGTCACTGGGATAACAGCTTGAAAACTACAGTTATGCCCACAGCCTCAGGTGACCCACTTGAGGGTTAGATGACCACAGTAGTGATAAATCATATGGACCCTGGACTGTGGGGGTTTGCTGATCCAGGAGAAATCCCACAGGGGGAAAAACAGCACCAGCAAAAAAAGAAACAAAGAGCCTCTTAGAAAGTAGTTCTCAACTGTCCTGCAAACCGAATCCTCTACTTCTCACCGCTGGATCTGCGTGCTTCCCAAGGATTCCCCTATACTTTCAGAAACATGCCACATCACACACCAGCTAACAAACAAATCTTTATTTTCTTTTAATACAAAATTAAATAGCAAGTTTTTTTTTTCTGTACAGTGATAAATTAGAAATTTACAGTACAGACATCAATGCAGACATACTTTTGTACATCCTTAAATGTAGGGTCCATTTTCTTTGAAGTTCAGCAATTCATTCAGGGTATTGTAGCAGGAGTTTGTCTGGTACCTCTACGTTGCACATCTGAAAATCTCCCAAATTGGCTTCAAGGTTCCTGAAGCTGTGCCGGGGTGGGGATGACGGGGGATCCAAGGAAAGGCACAGAGCAACCAGCCTGACTGCTGACACAGAGCAGGCAGAGTCGCATTTTACCTTTCTGCAAATCATGCCTGAAACTTAGTCCACTTTTCTTACTAAGAATTCAAGGGGCCTTCATCCTTAGACCTTCATAAGCCTCACAACATCCCTGTGAGGTAGAAAAAAATTCAGAACCACCTACATGCCTCACTGGGAGAAACCTAGAAGCCAGCTGATCTCGCTCCAAAAAGCTCACAGCCAAGTTGGGGCCTGAGGCCATTAACAGGATTTGAAAACTTTTGCAACTTGGGAGAGAAGGTGGACTCAGTCTTCCTGGGGGCAGATCTGGTCTTCTAGGGTGACAGTGATCACGTACTAAGTACTGTAGGAGAGCAAAGAGGTACAAAAGCTTTGAAGACATGGCTCACATAGGACCCCAAACAGGCCCTTTACAAATCACCTAGGCAAATACTAAGGATTTGCTCATGTGGAGGAGAAAAGTAGGTCTATCAGAAACAGAAGCAGACTACTATCAGGACAACTGGGCTTACCAGGGGGAGACACAGGTCGGGGGGCCTAGAGTTCACACTTCCGTCCTGGTACTGTCAAGTGTGCCGTGACTGCACATGGGCACAGCAAGAGGAGACAGCAGAAAGCTCTAACCAGGCTACAGTGAAATGGAATCCATTATTTAAGTTTCAATTATCTGATCCTTGGTAGGAGCAAAATGCTCTCTGAGAAGGTTCCAAGATCTGTGATCTAGCCCTGGAGGAAAAATGATAACCCAGGTCCTTTGCCAGACATAACAGAAACCCAGACGGGACTCTAAACTCAAATACAATAAAAGAACAAAAGAACTTGTCCAGTAACTCAACATGGCTGGAATAGCAACTCTCTCCAATGCCATCATAGAATGAAATACAGGATGTGAACTGCTTTTTAAGATGTCCTTCCAAAGTCTGTACTTTATAAACTTTGGTCTATGGCCACCTCACGAGAAGTTGAAAATTTCACCATCCTGGTGAAATCCCTTTCAATTGAGTCTGCCCCTCTAGGACTGAGGCTTTTGGCTCCCAATACAATAAGCACTTAAGTCAGTGACTGGGAGGCTGAGAGGAGCCAGAGAGCACAGAACCGAAGGTGCTGGTAGGACCCCAGTTCAGAATCTAGACATACGAGGCTCCCAGATTCTGAGTCTGGGGATTGAAGGTGAGGGTGTGACCCAAGAAAGCAAAGTCAGAGAGCATCTCAAGGAAATAAAACAGGTCCCCCTTCTCTGGTGTCGGGACCAAGTAAGCTGCCAGCTCAGAAACAGCCTCTGAGATCAGGAAATAGGTCTCCATAAAGGAAAAAGGGTATGAATCAACCAAGTAGCTCATCCAGACGGTTCTGGCCGGTTCCACCCTGCCCCATGTTCCTCTGCCCTGAGGTTTGGCCCTTGTGAAGCAGGAGAAAGGAGTTTTCCAGAGGAGGCTGGACAGAGGTGCCATTGGCTCCTGTTTAATAAAATCTTTGGAGGCCAAGAGGCTTTTGTCAGAAGCTATAATCCTACCCACTTATTATTCTAGATTTCAGAGAAAGAAAAACACTAACCTTTTCCCTAACTAGACACTGTCCTCAAATATACTTACTTAACTTACACAGAATACCCCAAGTCCTGAATTGGCTGCCTCCAAAACCACAGATGAGGGAACTCATGTTCTTATAACCTATTCTCATAACTCTTCATAGGGGATTTCTACAGAGATTGTCATTAAGCAGAGCTGACATCAAAAATCCCTGTAATTGATTTACGAGGACTCCTGCAAAGGGATGAAGATGTGTTAAAGATAGGAAGGATCAGAAAGGAAGGGATCTCTGGGATAGAGACAGGGGAATATACAGGAATTCCTGAGGTCTATACTCCTTCACCAAACCAATAGCAAAGTTCAACAGCCCCTGCTACATCCCTACCTTAGATCAGTTAGAAGAACAGAGATTACCTCCCATGACATCCTATAAGGCACCTAACACAGGGATTTATACACAGTTGCCACTCAATAAATGTGCTGATAAGTGACTTTTTAAAAAACATGCCAACTTAACTGATTGAGTTGTTTGAAGGTCACTAGTAACTGACTCCTCAGGCCTCAGCCGCAAGGTTCCTTTCCTGAAACTGTAAACACTCTCCATTGTCTGGAATGTGAAAGGAAAGGCCTATAACCATTTGGCATTGCTAGGGCTACTAATCCAGTCTGCAGTGTCTGGCCACTCTGATCAAATATACTTTCCCCTGAGAAGGTAAGAGATCTGTAGAACTGACATGTCAAAACCTGAAAAGTGGTCAGGGAACTCTCCAGAACTCAGAACCTGGGTGTCTGGGTTTCCCCAAGTGCTCTTTCATTATTATTTAATCAATGACAACTATCACTCACCCACTCCATGTCTGGCCCTCAGGTGTTGTCTTGGTCACACTGTTGATGACTTACAAAAAAATTGCATCACAAACCCCTATGCTCTAACAGCAAGGCCAGTTTTGCTCCTGCCTGGTTCTCCTTCCCTTTCCTGGGCCAGAGCCTCTGCACAACTCCCAAGACACCAGAGCGGAGCGTGAGTAAGGGCAGGCTCTGCCCCTGGGTGCAGGCTCCAGGGCCCTGAACAGTTATGGGAACGATCCTCACACAGCACAGGGAATTCACATTTTGCATTTCATCAGCAACTCACTCTCGGATGGAGTTGAACTGGTCCCTCCAGGGACCAATTCTCATGCTCCTGAAGCCCTGACCCAGAGTCCAGCCAAGGTACTCAGACTGGGCACACAGCAGCAGGGGCCACTGTGCCCACTTGGCTTCAGTCTCAAAAGCCCTAAGACTTTCCCTTCCAAAACACACAACAGACCTTATATGCATCTTGATTTCAGACAGCTGAAAAACCACACAAAAACAAAGAAGAAAGAAGGAAGGAAAATGTCAACCAAAAAAGAAAACAAAGAAGAGATGCTTATTTCCAGAATTTGACCACCTATTTGGAATTTTGAGTCCCTAGAAATGATGTTTCTCCACAAAAAAAGTGTGAAAGTAAAAAGAATAAAAAATAAAAAAGGTTTCCTACCTCTTTTTTTTTTTTAAAAAAAAAACAAACATGAATTAATAAATAAAAGGAGTCATCTGAGTCATTACAAAGCAGTTGCTAAAGCAAAGACAGGTATAAGTTACAAGGAAAGCAACCTGTGACACAGTCAACAATTTGTCCCAGAGATCTCCTGATTAGAAGGCCTAAGGCGGATTAAGTGAAAGGCCAGTTACAATTTTTAAAAGAACTGCAACTTTTGAGAGGCTGCTAGGGGGTACCCCCCTGTGAGGAACGTAAAACATAAATTTTAAAAGCTTTGGATACCTCCGCAAAAAGCAATTAAGACCTGTGCTGTTAGAGTTTGCAGTTCATTTCATATGGTCTATACTTCATTCCCCACTAACCGATCAAGCTTCTGGCTGGCATTCTGGAGATTCATTAAGCACCATATAAATACTCCAGGCCACACTGCCTCCAAAGAAATCTTATAAGGAGCCTTTGCCAATTACTAGGAAACAATTATGCACCAAAGTAGTTGGATTTGCTGTCCTCAGTTCCCTTCACAAAATTTAAGAAGTACTCATTGTAATGAGTAGACCAGACTCTGATAACATTCTTATGTTTTACAAAAAAAAAAAGGCACTATCATTCTGAGAATGCAAGTTGACCATAGTTTTAAAGTCAGTTGAGTATATTATGTCATGGTCCAAGAATGTGCTTTTAATTGTAATTGACACACACAAATTACACAGTTAATCTGTGTGAATGCAAAGTTGCCAAGAAACTTAACATTTCAGCTCTTCCAGACTGGCGTCTGTATAGATGCAATCACACAAGTAAAATATATTAAGTCCCCACTGTTCAATGCAATAGGTCTCTGGGGTCGGTAAGGTAAGTCAACTTAGTAAATCTCATTTTCCTCTGAATTAAGTGATTGTCAGAAAGTGATTCGCCCTTCCTTTTCCCCTCATTAGGCATGCTGCCGTGCAAAAATTCCTATAAAAATACCTTTTTGAGTCATTAATGTAAAAACGAAGAAAACAGCAGCAGCCTAGAAGAGAAAGGTTGAAATTTAAGAAAGAAAGAAAGAAGAAAAATCCACCGGATACTCTAAGCGTGTTAGTACAGTACTTTTGTTTGTTCAAACAATTCTGTTTTATGACAAAGGCACTGAAGGAGTCTGACACCAGCTCTTGGGAGTGCAATCCACAAAGTTCTAAACAGCAGACAGTGCGCCACAGAAGATGTTTATGTTACATCAGCCAAACTGTAAAACTCTTGTAACACTTCTCTGAACCCAGTGTTTCCAGTGTTTATGGATTGCTTTGCTATCTGAAAGACCCAGTTAGTATTTAAAATTTTAAAGGGTTAAAAAAGTTAATCTTTCTCCCTGCAAGTTACCAACTCAACAGCTCAAATCCCACCCTGCAGGGGAAAAACAGCATTGCCCTGGGATCTAGGCAGGACCTCTATGCTCCAAGCTGCGACCTGCTAAAGTGATCAACGTTTTGATTTTTCACAGCTTTGAAAGCCTCTAACTGGCTTTTCCATTTTGGATCATTCCAAAGTCTGCAGCAAAATCATTGGTTTTATGATGCTGGTGGGGGGGTGGCATTAGGTTGATGGGGGTCACTTAAGTGTTGCTGGTTTGTTCAAATTGAGACTCACTGCATAAAAGTTTCAGCAGCATTTCCACCGAAATGCTAGCTTCCCCCCTTCAAAATGAGGAAAGTGTGGAGGCTGCCGAGCCTTATACCACAGTCTCATTGCCTTTTCCGGGCTTCACCCAACCATTCCCTCGTTTCTCTCTCTTTACCTTCCCAGAATTCACCAATCTATTAGAACACTTCTGCCACGTGTGAAGAGTTTTGGCAGACCAAATCCACATGCCCGAAGTGATGCCCACCAACAAAGACATAAAAATTTTCAACATTTCAACTGCCATATTGGAGTCATCTGCAGAATACCTAAAGATTGCCCAGTTGGAGATTTCATAAAAGTAACAGGCAATAACACAAGTGGCAGGAACAGTGTATAGTACTGAGAAGACCCCAATCTTGACCATCAGCCTCTCCAACTTGTCTGTTTTTGTCCCATCCTTTTGAAGATTTGACCGGATTTTGAACAGGGCCACCAAGCCTGCAGCAATGAACAAAGTTCCAATCACCAAATAAGTAAAGAGGGGAGCCACAACAAAGCCAGTGAGGGCATCAAGATTTTGGTTCCCAACATAGCACAGGCCAGTCAACTCATCTGCATCCACTAGTCTCATAATCAAGATGACAATGGTTTTCACCGCAGGGATGGCCCAGGCTGCAATGTGGAAGTAAGAGCTGTGCATTTCAATGGCCTCATGACCCCACTTGAGTCCCGCTGCCAAAAACCAAGTGAGTGTCAGAATAACCCACCAAATGGAGCTGGCCATTCCAAAAAAGTACATCAGCAAGAAAATTATTGCACATCCTGTGTTCTTAAGTCCTTCTTGGATGAGAACAGGTTCTGCTGCCTCTTCAAAATCGCAGGATATCCTTTCCCGGCCTACCGTCAGTCTGACAATATAAGCAATGCTATAAATATTATAGCACATACTAAGGAATATTATGGGGCGCTCAGGATAGGAAAACCTAGAAGAATCGATCAGGAAGGTCAGTACTGTGAAGGCCGTGGAGATGAAGCACAGGCTGGCCCACACGGCCATCCAGATATCTGTGAACTCCTTGGCCGAGCGGCTGTATAAGCCAGCGTCATAACCACACTTGAGAACACAATTCAGGCTCCTTTTCACCCAGATATACTGATCAGAGTTGGTTCCCACAGAGTGACATTCTTCCCCAGCCTGAATGGGGGGTTTGTGAGGTAAAGGCACCTCTTCGTCACCTGGGCCTTCCATGCACATGTGGTTGTGATCATTCTGTGGTGGGAATTTGCTGCAGTTCAGGCTCTCCGGCCAAGCAAATCCAAATTCCTTCAGGACAGGTTCACAGCGTCTCTTGACTGAAAGGCACATGCCGCCACACGGGCCGATGGGGATGTTGATCTTCTCTGTGCACATTGGCACATAAACTGAACAAAGGAAGAACTGAAAAAGTAACGAAATGAACAAAGAAAACAATGACTTGGAAGTCTGACCAAATGCTTGCACAAAACTAAACTGAATGCTACCAGACAATGTATTACATCCGCTTTTAAACCACCCTACAAGGAGTCTATCAGTCTACTCTGACCTCAAACAGGGGTGCATTTATAATCCATCATTTACCTACTTTTCTTAGTTTGGCTTTAGTGATCCCTTCTAGAGGAATGAATGGACATATATATATTTTCTGAGGAACTCCCCACTTAAGGAAAGAAACCTAAAAAACCCAATGTTCATTCTCCTCCGTTTAGCTACCACTTGAAAGAGCTGAAGAGACTAATCATATGACTCGGTCATTTAGGTGACAGAATGGTTTGTTTTTATCACCACAAAAAGAAATGTAAAAAAAAATTATAGATCCCATTACTATTCTCTCATTTCTCTATATTAGCCCTTAATTTTTTTTTAATCAGCCCCACACTGAAACAGAAAATGTCCCAGTTGAGACATGGTTAGACATAAGGCAGGGAGGCAGATTGAGGTCTCTGGTCACCAGGGGTTTGTTTGGCCAGGTTTCCTCAATAAATAATCATGAAGCACAATAGGAAAATGTAAATGTTAAGTCCCTGAAACTGCAATACCAGCAGGGGAGAGTCCAGTTGCTGTCCTCAATTCCTCCAGCATTGATAAACAGTCTGCTTGGCTCCTTACAGATGTTGTCTATGAAGTCTAGAGTTACAAGTAACTATTTTCCAGCATGTAAAGGGATCCAGTCTTGTCCTTCAGAACAGCTTGGCTGCTTCCCCAGGATACATGTAATTAAAAATATATATCCCTGCAAAAGCTGTTTCTCCAAGAAAATTGCCACTGATGTCAGGATATGTAGTGCTTCCAAACTGAGAGCTGAAGGATGATCTCTTAAGCTTTTATAACCTAGTTCCAAAGTTCTGAAACTTCCAAAAGGATATTTCACCAGCAATAGGTCTAATCCCAACCATCTTTGCAAAACCACAATCTAACTTTTAAAATGACCTATGTAAAAAATGCACCTAGTAAGTAAGCTGTGCGTCTGTTTCTTATCTCTCAGAAGTTACTGCCAGAACCACAGATTTCTGAAGCTTTTAGTGTGGACAACTAAGCTCTATTTTTTTTCTCCCACAACTTCTCTCTTCTCAAAATTTCTAAAAATCACTCAGCCTCACCAACCAAAACACAACCAATGTTAACACTTTTAAAATTTTCATCTTAGTCTTCTTCCTCCCAATGAATTGATTGTTGTTTTGTGTTTTTACAAGATAACAATCACCCTTTACATGCAAATTCTTTCTTCACTTATTATTGTGGGACAAATATTTTCTATACCATTTACATAAGCTTTACATTTTTTTTAACAACTGCAAAGAAAATTCTTCCACTATTCCAACTGGCCTCCTGGAACTGCTTCTGTCTTTCCAAGCATTAAACCTGCCTTCAACCCTGAGGATAAGAACCCAAGCCAACCTAACCGTTCTTTCCTGCATGACCTCTAAACCATACGGGAGATGCAAGGGGAACATTCAGAAGAAAACAGCGCAGTGGTATTTCATTTAATAACCCACTCAAAAAACACGGGGGAACAAGAATGTCGGTGAGTGACCGGGAAGGAAGAAGTACCGTCTTATCGCTCCTTCCAAGACTCAGCTGCAGCTGGTTGCCCTATCAGGGACTCGCCCACCGAGCAGCAGAGCCTAATCCTTGGCAAAGATAACCCTCAGCTCCACTGGGGTTAGGGGGTTGGCCAGACATGGGTGGGCAAGGGAGAAAAACGGAAGGGCGGGGTGTAAGAGTGGGTTCTTTCCCAGGCCAGATGACTTACACAACGTTTTGGCTTCCAGTCCCTGAGAAAGGACAGAAAGTGGGGGTGGGGATGGAACTCACTTTTCCAGGAGAGGAACACCGGTCAGGTTTGGAAGAGGACAGGGGGCTCCCTCGGGCACCGCCTCCGCGAGGTTAGTCTGGAGCGTCCCTCCCCAAGGGGGTCCCGCCAGGGGTGGGGGTGGGGGCGCCCACCTGCAGCTGGCTGGAGCAGCCGTACTGGATGAGCGGTGTGAAAGTTGTCAGCTGCAGCTCGGCGTCTGTCTGCAGCTCGTGCCCCACCAGGTTGGGCATCTTGGTCACGTTGTAGCCGAGGTTCTGGCACATGGAGATACGGATGGGGTCGCAGCGCCGTTCCTCCTCGTCCCCAAAGCCCCGCGCCGGCCCCAGGAGTAGCAGCAACTGCAGCAGCAACCACAGACTAAGCCCGACGCCCCCGGGCGCCCCCAGGATGCTCGGCCCTGCGCCCCGCCAGGCCATGGCTAGAGTAAGGGGCAGCAGCAGCAGCGGCGGCGGGGACTCCTCCAGCAGACACCCCCAGTTTGCACCGGGGAGCCGGCTGCCCGCGCTGCTTCCAGCTCCGGGGAAGAAGTGTGATAAGGCGCCAAGGGCGACGAGGGGGCAGCGGCCGGCTCTCCAGCAGCTGCGCTCGACTGTTTGGGATATTAGACGCCCCGGGCTGAGGCCGAGGGACTGACTGAGAGGGTCATGGCTGCAGGCGACCAGCCCACAACCCGGCGCCGGCCGCGTCTCTCAGCGCCTCCGCGAAACCCCGCCAGCACCCAGCGCCGAGCAGCTCTCACCGCCGGAGCCCAGCGCAGCGCTGGAGACTCGCTGTGCGGCTGCGGGGAGGGACGGACAGCGCGCCTCTCCAATGGCCGGGAGCCGTGGGCAGGGAGGGGCGGGGCCGCGGGGCGGGGCCGCTCTCCTGCTGGAAGGGTCAAGCCCCCACTTGCGGGCCCCCTCCGCGGTCCGGCCCGCCCTCTCTCCGGAGCGCCCGCCCCGCCCCGCTTCCCGGCTCACGCTTTCCTCCCACTCGGATCCCGGCGAGCGGGGGGACAGGCGGGGATGGAGTTTAGTCGCTCCGGCCTAGGCAACCTGCCCCCTCCCCTCCCAGGTGAAAAGTGCCGTCGGATCATTCTGCCCCCTCTCTTTTCCATATCCTTCCAGCTGTCGTCGGGGCCGTTGGCAGGTTCCTCTCCCCGTCCGGCAAAGAAACGTACACAAAGAACACGGGATTCAGATTTACAGATTGTGGCTTTAAATCCCTGCATTGTGACCTTGAGCAAATTGCCCAGCCTCTCGGCGTCAGTTTCCTCCTCGGTAAAGTAACTTGGGAGAATTAGAGATAAAGCGTGAAACGCTTAGCGCCGTGCCTGGTACCGTGCGAGTTCGCAGCTATTTTCACTCCAAACTCGCCAGGGTTGGAGCCCGGCCCCTCTCCCCGCCCCCAGACTCGCCCGACCTGCCCCCGGGAGCTGCCGAACTCCAGCCGCCAGTGGGGGAGGCGCCCCGGAGCAGCAGACCAGCCGACGATCTCGCGCTCCTATTTCCTCACCATATGAAATGAAATTCCACAGGGGGATTCGAAAGGAAATGAGACCGGGACGCTCCGTGCTTCTCGGCCCGCCGCCCTTCCTGTCTCGGGGACACGGTTTCTAAATAAGGTTGGGAGGGTGAGAGGGCGGGAGGGGAGAGGTTTGACCTGTGCACTAGGGGCAAGGAAGGCGCACAACCGCCAGGATTCCCCTTCCCCCAGTCTTCCGGGCCCCCCTCCCCCGCAGCCTGCACCCCTTTCTTGCTTACTCTGCTTCTGCTTGGGTTCTGGGATCTGGAGATCATGCCACTTGAGTTTCAATCCACCTCTCCTGTCTGTCATTCTCAGCCCCTCTGGGCTTTGTGCTGGTCCACCCTCTGCTTTCCAGGACCGGTGACACTCCTAACAGGTGGATTCCTCAAACGTTTGATTTTTGGGTTGATGGGGTCAAGCTCCCGCAACCTGTCCGAGGTTCAAATTGGCCATCAGTCGAATAGAGAAGTTCGTGTCTACCTCGCACAGTTGTTCTGAGAGTTAAATGAGATAATACCTGTGAATAATATAGCGCAGTGTCTGGCACGTAGTACTGAATAAATCGGTTATTGTTGTGTTTGGGGAGGAGATTCTGTAACAGCAAGGGGAGGCCAATTGTGGGACAACGTCCCTTCCAGCTTGGTTATAAAGACATGTGCAGCAGCCCAGATCCCACAGTCTGGGGAAAGGACTTCTGCCCTCTCCCTAAGATGCTTTTGTCCACACTTGCCACTGTTTTCCTACCGCTGTTTTAATGAATTTTTGTATCCTCCCGTTTCAGCCAATTATCTGGCACATGGCAGAGGCTAGATACAAATTGGAAGGATGTCTGCACCACTAGTATGGTGCTCATAGGCTCTCTCATATTTTTAGTGTACTTACATTGTCAGCTAGACTTGGCTGAGGGCAGAAATGGAATCAACTTTTTCTGGTATTTGGCTCAGTGCCTAGAGTTGTGTTGAGCATATAGAAGCTGTATTGTCTCCAGTCCTTACCATGACCTCCCAGTGAAAAGTCTCTTAGCCCCTTAAAGAGATTAGGAAACTGAGGCTAGAACCAAAGGAATAGTTGGAAAATGTTTTTTGTTCGTTTGTTTTTTAAAGAGAGTCTCACTTTATCGCCCTTGGGAGAGTGATGTCACAGCTCACGCAACCTCGAACTCTCCGGCTTAGGCGATTCTCTTGCCTCAGCTTCCCCAGTAGCTGGGACCACAGGCACCCACCACAACGCTGGCTATTTTTTGTTGCAGTTTGGCTGGGGCTGGGTTTAAACCCGCCACCAGGCGGGCGCCCTGCCCACTGAGCCACAGGCACTGCTCCTAATGGTTGGAAAATGATAGCACCAACCAAACCAGGGCCCAGCTGAGGACCTTTAAGATGGAAAGCAGGGTTATTTCCCCAGAAAATGTTCCCAGGGGGAAGTCAGAGTACACCGTGGTAGGGTCGACTCTTCTGTGTGTTGAGTACTGCGTGAGACCATTGGCCTACAGAGGTGAATAAATGGTCAGATAAACAGATCAAATGATCTATTAATAATTTGGGCTGCAGAGATGAAAAAAAAATGCTGAATAGAACGAACGAATAAATGGTTCCTATCCTCTAGGACCTCACAGGAAGAGATAAAGAATAACTAAACAATAGCTCAATGTGCTAGGAGCACTGATAGAGAATTTTGAGTAAATTGAAAGGATAGGTAGCTGAGTTAGAAGGGCTACTTAAAGGGGGATGACCAGCAGAATGCTGAGCTCCTCAACCAAGTGGAGTTAGTGTGTAACTGGCACGTCTCCCAGGGTGGGGCAGGAGAAGGGGCATGCTTTGTGCTAAAGATATGTGTATGTGGTTCTTAAACAGTGAACTCCCTGAGGTCGCAGAGAAGGAGCTGTCTCTTCCACAGGGCCTGGCACAGAGAGGGACATCATTAGTGCTGGGTGAAGGAACTCTAGGTCAGTAACAAACAGCTCATATAGAACTCTGTGCCATACACTGTGTGACATGACTTGCATTCACTATTTTATTTATTTCTCACAACACCTTGAGAAAACTGATGCTGTGAGAGGTCAAGCAGTTTTCCCAAGATCACACAGTGAATGGTGGAAAGAGATTCAAGGCACATCTGGCTGGCCCCAAACTCTACAAACATGGTACTGTTCTTACAAAGGAAACTGCTTAACACCTGACCCAATCTATAGTTAAAGAGGATCCTTTTGTGATAGGGACCTCTTTTTTCTAAACCTGGCATCTCTGCCTCAGCTTGCTCAAAGCGACTGTCTTCTCTGGGAAACACATGAAGAAGCCCCTTGCCTGTCACAAGCTTTTCCTATCAACAGCTTTTCTTTCTAGTCATGGAACTCATCACAGGTATTTTCCAAAAAAGAAAGCCCGGGGAATCACGTTTCAGTCTGAAAAAGGAAGGAAACAAAGACCATGACTTAGAGCTGGGTCTGAATGGCCCAAAGCCCCTCAGCTTCCCTCTCTGGAGTGGTTTACACAGTCTGCAATCTGCTCTGGTGACAGGCCCTGCATGTTTGTCTTTGTTTCAGAAAACACTTCCCTGAGGGAGTTCCAGGCAGAGGGATAGCCACCCTGTGACACCCCAGCATTTCTAAGAGGAAAAGATAGGGGCTAGGGAATGAGACCTTTAGTTAACCTGAAGTGCAGGCCGAGAATGGCTCTGGCTTGAATGCCCAAGCAGTTTCCTTGGTCCCGCCTATGAGTAGTAAAAGATGCAGCTACTTTTGGAGCTGCAACAAACAGGACTTCAGCAGGCTGTTGGGCAGTTGGAGGGTGCTCCATTTGTATCTAATGAGAGGCTGGATTCTAATTAACTCCTGTCATGTGTTAATTTTTTAACCTGACATTTTCTGCTCTAATAGATTCTTGTAATGGTTCCTAAATTAAAGGCTGCATTGGAAGACTAGCGTTTAGGTTAAAATCCACCACCTAAGAGGATGGGAGCCATAAACATCCTTTCCCTCCTAAGGAAAACCTCTCATTTGCAGTTCTTTGCTAACCCAATTAAGTGCTGAAGTAGTCACCCCAGAGCCTGCTTTTTATTTCCTGAGAAACAATTCAACTAATCCATATTCAGTAGCGTCCAAGAAAAGTCTTATTCCAGCCACTCATGAAGAAATCAGCTTCTTTGAATCTAGACAGAACATTTAGAACTCACAAAGAGCTGTCTTGATAGAAAATGCAAGCAAGTGGTTCATTATTACCCTGGTTAGTGTTTGAGGGGAAAATTCCCTGGGATTAAAACCCCATAAGTATTGGGAATGTGCTGGTGGAACAAGAGAAGCATAGGGGAAAGCCGTGCCCCATACCATCAGTTTATAAATGGTCTGGGTGCTACCTTCCCCCTTGCACCAAAACTAGGTATAAAACAAAAACGTGTCTACTGGCTAAGGTGGAAGGGATCTTGCTCCATGTTGAGGAATCAGAGTCGCAAGAGATTAAGTAATAGCTGTTAAGTGGCAGAGCTAAACTCTCTTTTTAGTTCATTGCCTCACTAGCCAGCAGAGGCAATCATTACCACAGAGCTCCTGGCATGCCAAGAAGGCAAAACCCTGTGGCTCCGCCTACCTGAAAATTCAGCAAGCATAAGATGGTACATGGGACACTCTTATTTATTGGTGGTGATTGTCTATTGAAAAGATGGGCAACCAAGAAGTTCCACAAAAGGCAAAAAATAATGTCAAACACTTTGTACCTCCACAGCCTCATTTCATGTCAATATTTATCAGTCAAGCCATTAGCAAATGTTTAGTGATGGGTCATTGTGGACATGTCACTGAGTCGGGTACTGGGAGATATGCAGACATGTAAAAGGTGGGTTCTGCGTTCAAGGAGCATACAGTCACATTGGGCACTGGAAGAGATTGAGACATGAGACCAAGAGTAAAATGAGTTTGTTTATGGTTGGGTGCTTTTTCTTGGGCTTTCTTAGCCCCAGTCTTCCCTGCTCATGGTACATTAGGTTCCATATTATAACGGTTTTGTTTTACTTTTGTCTCTTTCACTGTCCTGTAAGTGTAAATCCCAAACAGCACAGAACAGTATTGCCGGACACATGGAAGGTACTCAATAGTTATCTGCTGAATAAATAAATGAATGGTTAGGCTTTAAGTGACCTGATTCTTCAGAAGAAGAGAGCTCCATTATGGGCTAGGTATAGGCCACCGCAAAAATACAACCTAAGTGATTCTAGAATGATGATCAAATCCAGATTACAAATCATT